TTCAGCAGGCCTTTGACCTTTTGGTTTTAGGGTTTTATACTAGCATTCATCCATAGAACTTAAGCAAATTAAATTTATGTTCAATTGAAATAATGAAGTTATCAGTCCATAACAGGGCACCTAAGTGACTGAAGGGTGCAGGCTACAGAGAGATGGCTATAAAGCTGTAAGGTCACTAACTGGTTCCCCTTTAGGGAAGGGGAGCAAGTGACTGGAAGGAATGAAGCCAGGCAGGATATAAACAAGAGTTCCTAGGTTGAAGAGTAAACTTGCCCATGCTAAGCTCAGGGAAGGAGTTCTGCAGGGCTAGAGAGACATCAGAAAGAAGATAAATTGTTTAGATTTTGGTTTTCTGAGTGTGTTTGCTACACAACATGGGAGTGGCTACTGGACAGAAGGGAGACCACTGTAGCCGCGTGGGGTAAGTGCTAAGAATCTGTTTAACTGGCTGAGAGTAAGAGACAACAGGCCGGCGAGAGAGAGACCCAGGTGCAAGGGTGGCGATTGAAAGTCTTAATTGAAAATGGTTATTTGGGGGGACCAACGACTTACTGAGCCCTTACTGAGGACTACCTGACTTATGGAGAAATGTGCAGAGGCCCTCTGAGGAGAGATGCCCTGCTCAGCTCGGATTAAAAGATCAAGCCAGAGCATGGTGGCCTGATAAGTAGCTCTGAATGAGGCACCTCAAGGCTCACTCTGGTATTGAGGACTGCCTCCCTAATTTATAGTAGTTTACCATTGAGGTGTGGCAGGTGAGGACAGGGCAGTACCCTGGTGGGAGCTGGAGTGAAAGACTGGCTCAGTGTGGCCGTCAGGGGGTACCACAGCCACCTTCAGAGGAATGCTTGAAAGAGTCTTAAACATTTCCCTTTTTAGTCAGAAAATACTGTTGGATTGTGTTACGTTTTTAAAGAATTTTATTAAACCTTCCACCTTTTTCACTACAGTCTTTACTTAACCAGAAATCAGATTTGTAGATGTTTACAGATTTTAGGCTTCAGCTTGGGCTGCATGATTTAGGGCAACTTAAACAAGTCGGAGAATTGAACAAAGATAGCTGTCCATATCACACCGGTGAAAATGATCCACTAACAATGCCACGCAGAATTTACCAGAATAACATGACTTGAGAATGGGAGGCAGGTGGCAGTTCACAAAGGCTAGGGACAGAAGTCACACAAACTGGTTTAAGTGATCGGAAACTGGTTTAAACCTGTTACAGAAGAGAAATTCAACGTGCATAAACTGCTTTCAAAATGACCAAAACCAATTTAAGATGAACCTGGTTGGATGTAGTATCAGATTTAAGTGATTTAAGTCACAACCAGCTTATGGAAATTCTGTCCCAGATCCCTTCCTGGTTCAAGTTAACTCACAGTCCTCCAGCATCCCAGAATGCTTTGCAGCCCTGGGTTACACTGCCTGCTCCAGTGAAGCAGGGACTGCCTTGTCCCTCTGTTTCTTAGCCTGTGTCCGTCAGCCCATAGGGATTTTGAGGGGGGGGGGGCAAGGGAAGAGACACCCCCCCACCATAGGAGCCCTAGCTAGGGTCTACACAGCACATGGAGGGAGGAAAGGCCCCTGGGGTGAGGGCTTTTCAGATCCCCTCCCAGTTGCTGATTGCTTCAGTGGCTGCCACAGAAGGGAAGGAGGAGTCCTCCCGGGCAGGTCCCTGCCCATGCAGCCCAGCATGGGATCACTGAGGAGCCCCTGCCGTGGAGGGCTTCCCCCCAGCCCAGAGTCCCCCAGCCTGGGGCATCCCCAGGGAGCTGAGGGGAATTTTTCCCCTCCCAAACTCCACAGTTGCTTACATCAGCCCCTGAGAGTCTCAGGCAGCTTGAGTGAGTGCAGGGAAAGTCTACTCCTCCCAGATGGTTTTGCCTTAGTTTCTGAGTCTGAGGCAAAACTAATACAGGGAAGCAAAGGAATTTCCCTCCACTCCCTGGGCTATCCCTGAGACTCCAGCAGTAAAGCAAATGGGTGGGGTTGGGAAGTATTCCCCACAGCTCCTAGGGCTGCCTGGGACTGGGTGGGGGGAAGCAGCCCCAAGGTGCGGGCTCCCCGGTGCTCCCATGCTGGGCTGCAGGGGCAGGCACCTGGCCAGGAGGACTCCTCCCTGGCTCCTACGGCAGTGGCTGAAGCAGTCAGCAGCTGGGAAGGGAAAAGCAGGGAGAATTCCCCTTGGTTCCTCAGGGCTGCCTGGGCTGGGAAACCTCCTGAGGGGGGAGGCTCCCCCAAGGTGGGCCAGCACCTGGACAGAGGGCTCCTTAACCCCCTGTGGGGGGACAGCAGGGGTTTGGGGACACTGGGCTGGGCTAACAATGGCCAGCAGGCTAGGAGATGTGCTGTAGCACACTCCCTCCCCCCCCCGCCCACCTACTAGCCTGAGTCAGTGCAGGCCTCCCCCTGCCTTTCCCACCTGAAAACTGAATGTCAGTTCAGTTGATGAATTGGTTCAACCTACACAGCTTACAGGAAGCTGCCTAGTTTGAACTCATTCAGCCTTAGGCTTTTTGACTGTCTGTACTTAGCAAAAGAAAATAAGTATAGTATTTATTGTATACAAGAATGATGTATGATGATACGGTTATTTCATTTTCCATTTCCTCCCTCCATCTTCTCTTTTAATATCCAGTAATAAACTTCAATCTTAAGATTCCCTCCCTTCTGCTTCATTTATTATTAGAGTTCTTTGTTTTCAAATAGTTCCTAAAAAGCTTCCTGCTTCAACCTTCTCAAGATCATATAACTGAAACTACCACATCCAATGAGCATGCCTTCCTTTGTAAATGTTTTCAGTTTCCCCCAATGATAAGTAGGCTATAAGTTAAAGTCTGCACCTCTACAATATTAATACCATAACAAGCATATGCAGAGTTGGAATCTCATTTTCTGAAGCTAACTCAGTGTAAAAATAAAAGGAAAACCTAAATAGATTTCTAATGGTCACACCGCTTTGGGTGGCTCTAAAATGTTCAGTGTTTCTGAGAAGAAAATAGGATTTTTCAAAAAAATGTTATTAGATATAGAAAGTTAAAAGTTAAAGCAATCTGATAAGTCATCATTGCTAGGAAGCTCAACTATCAAGAATTTTAAACTTAAAATATTTCCCCATACTACTTGCATCATTTCTATTCCCACTGACATACCTTTGAAATGTAGGTAAGTTTAAGGGCTCCAACAGGCGGAGATCCAGCAGGAAGGTTCTAAAAACAAGGCATATTACATAGGTCACCCTCCGATTTGTATACTTTACAAGCATCAAAAGCAGAGCAGCTAATACATTTATTATTATTATTAGTTTTACAAACAAAAGAATTCTACACACTTTCATCTACAATAAAGCAGTCAACATAATAGACAGTATAACAGGATCGAAGCTACTTGGTCTCATTTACTTAGCAAACATCTGGTAGTCAACTAAAACTGACTAACTCTTGGCAACAATGGTGGTATTAATTGTTTTGCAGGTTCATATATTGCACTGTAGGAAAAAAAATTATTGCAGGTTTGCATTCAGGAAATCCTCCTAAAAGAACATGCTTTCCTTTGCAGATGTTGAGTCAAGGTGATGGCTTCTTATATAGACATTCATTCATTAACAGTTCCTCTGGTACTTCCAAGACTGCCTCTTATGCTACTATAATTTTTTAATTTTTTAAAAATATACTATTTAAGAACAGTAAAAGCCCCGATATCCGGCACCAGTGGGAAATGGGGGGGTGCCAGTAATGTAAAAATGCCAGTTCCCTGAGGGCACAGGGTTTCCGCCCAGACACGGAGCAGGGATGGGGGGGGATGGTGGCAACTGCACACAGAGCAGCAACAGCACAGCATGGTGGGTGATGGTGGCCACGTGCGAGCTTTCCCCCCTCTACTCCCCCCCGCATCCGGCCAGCCAAAAATTCACATTACTAGCATGCCGGTTAGTAAAATCCCAGATAAAAGAGATTTTACTGTATATTGAAAGAAAGTCACTTGTAACAATCTTAAATGTAGTCAGGGAGGCAAAGTGGATTGCTTTCCAAGTTATAAAAGTTCCTCACCAGCAGTGTTAAGCCTACAAGCCTGTTACAATCCAAACTAAAGTTACCCAGATCTAGAAAGAGCAACAAGTGCAGCAAACTGATCTACTAATTGGCCCACAATATTTACATGTATTTGTGCTACTCTTCATATCAAGTTTAAATTTAAGAGCAACTGTAATGTAAGAGAATTAAACGGTTGTGCACTGTTCATTGCAGCGGTTAGTAAAATTTGCCCCCTTTCTATTGAATTAAGGTGTTACATGTAAAAATGTCTTTCTTGGTTTTGTCACAGCTTTACACCATTTCCTTAATCTATAACAGAACATAGAAATAGTACATGAACCAGAAAAGTGTGGAGTAACGGGAGAGCCCCCACAAGAAGAGAGGTCATGACCCAGGGAAAGTGGCATGAAGTCACATGTATTACATTTTTAGCTATATTATGCTCTCCGCCCTCATTTGTATTTATTCTCTCCTTCCTCAACAATTTATGTTCTTTTCTAAATTATATCCCCACTCTTCCACATCCTCAAGGTCAATTTCAATCACAGCAATAAATTAGTCCAATTCTGACATTAGCTATATACAGGATGCTGAACCAGGATAGGTTCACCTGCGCTGCCTCTACCTCCCTCCCAGCATATAGACTGCGATGACTCCATGTTGTGCAGGGCAAGGGATCCTGCACAGTGCTGAGGCTTCCTTGTGGCTCCATCTGTTCCCTGTGCCCCAGGCACAAGTGCAGCTATGCTAGCTCTGCTCCTTGTCCTCCACTCGCCATGCAGGCTGAGGCATCTGCCACTTTTCAGCAGCTGCCAACAGCTCATTGACAGCCTCCTCCCTTCCCAACAAGCTGTCAGTGATTAAGTTCCCCTTAGGATGGGCCGACCCAAGAAGCAGCCTTCTCTTGCCCTCTGGTTGGAGAGCTTGCCTGGGTAGCTCTCCAGCTGGGGAGATGGCAGGCCTGTATGCCGCAAGTCCTGATCTGTTTTTCCAGTGCTGAGAATTTCATAGAAGTTAGCAGAACTGGAAATGAATGCCTGTCTATACCCAGAGATCAAGAATGCCCACATAAGAAACACCACGCCCTCCAGCAACTGCTGGGACTCCTATTACATGCTGTTTCTGGACCTTCCTCCTTTCATCACTAGATAAATAAAAAGAGTTTCTTTTCTATTTCATTGTGCGAGCTGAGGCAGCAACAGCCTCTTCCCCTTTCTCATTGCAGAGCCTCCTCTTGCCTGTTCAGGAGTTGGTGACGCATGTTATCTTACCCTCTTCCCTGCAACTACAAGACGTTGTTTCTGCTGGGCTAGTCTCTTTTCTAACTTGCAAATCCTTTCCCCTGGTAGAGATCCTATCTTTTCTGTCTGTTGAACCAGCAACATAAAAATCAACCTTATTTGTGTGATAAGACTAATCAGTTTTTTTACTAATTTCCAGCTCAAAAAAACCCAAACACAGTAGCAAAGACATTAAAGATGTCTTCAGGCAACGGAAGATGATGACACACCTGTTCATACTCTGGTCATATTTGGAAGATTGTCTCTAACTGTAAAAGACTAGAAGGTGTACTTTTGTTTTCATGTTAAAAAAAAATCAATAGCTTACATGCTACACAATTAAATGATATCCTAATGTGCACTACTATTATTTATATTTTGGAATAACAAACATTAGGTGAAGCTAAATACATACTTGGGAACATCAATTTCTGCTTTATTTCAAGGAGCAAATGCAGTCTTGGCAAAGCAGCTCCATAGCCACACTGCAACCAAAGAGGCAGAAGAAAAACCAGAATAATTTGGTTTTACTGAAAACGCCTTCATTTTGGTGTGAGCACTTTTATTAAAATATATGAATGTCTGAGGTAAAACTGCAAAATATGCGAACAGTATGCGGTCTTAAGAACTCAAACTGTATAAAGAATTCCACTTTTGATGATATTTCTTTAGGTTTCTCATTCATGTGGCTGGGATATATATACACACAATAAAGAAGCTGCTCTGCTGCCCTTAACATAGACATCTGAAATAGCTCCGCTTATTTCCAGAAATTATTTCCCATTTCCTCCCCTACACATTTAAGCTGGGGTAGACAGGCATCTTGACTGGCCTATGCTGCATTTCTTTTTCATCCCTGTTCTTCAAGATCATGAATTCCACAGTATTTCAAATGTGGTCTTACTAATGCTTGGCAGGGTAGCCAAAGAACTGTTAAGGCATAAATTAGTTCAGCTGATTTACATTCCAGGCCTTCACTTTCTAAATAGCCTATACTTTTAAAAATGCTTCTTCCTTCATATCCTAGAAATAATATTGATACAACATACTGAGTGAACAGCTTTAAAACAGTAACACTCCTCAGCATTACAAATTTATAAGTATTCCAGGTTCACGTGATGGATGGAGCATGTATCTTAAACACAACCACAGTCTAGTTTGTACATTCAGTGGCTGATGCTGCTGTAAAGAAGCTACTGTTGAATGAACAAAATAGGTGGAAGCAGGAAAACAATACAGTTTCACAAACAATTAAACATGAAATAGCAGGCCTGCACAGTGAAGCCAGACTCAGGGATATCACTAACTTAAATTCAAAGAAAGCAAAGGCTGCAGTTTGGTTTCTAGAGACAACTGCTAGTATGTTAGCTAAGACCCTTCCAGAAGCAGGAGGAAAAAAAAATCAAATATCCACTCCAATATTACTATCAATCAGCTTCCTTTAATACCATTAACATCAGGTACCATCACTTTTGCATGGGTAACCACCAGCATAGTCTTCTATGCCTACTTATGTCATAGTTCTATGTCTACTTCTCCTTGATGCTCTCAGAAAGCTGTGTTGGCTAACTGCTTCCTTTTATTGAACAGTCTTTTACAGGGCTCTGCAGCAGTCAATCTTGCCATTATACTTATTTAACATGCTGGTGAGATTAGCAGAAAAGAGAATGGGTATCATGAGCTGGAGCAATTTCAGTAAAGTTGATGATTCAGCTAGAATAGTTAATTGGGTTTCTCAGAAACTGGGGAAAACTAAAACATGTCTGGATTGTTGTGGTTAATAAACTCATGTTTCTGGCTGGGTAGCAAAAGCAATGCAAAATTATGGTGGGTGGGCAATTATTTGGGCCAGCCATCTACATAAAGAGTTTTGGTGAGCTGTTGCAGGCCGGGTTAGCACCCCCCCCACCCCAACACAACAGCTCACCAAAACTCCCTAAGCAGCCCCATCCCGTCTGCCTAACCATGCACCCTGGCAGCATGGTCCTGGCTAAACTCCATGGAGACCCCAGGATTGCAGGGTGGTGACAGTGCGAAGCCACAATCCACTCTCTGCAAGCCCCTGTCTGCAGAACTGGCACTCATCGCAGGGGCATGCGGGCAGTGGATCACGACTCTGCTCCACACTTGGCCAGGATAGGGCCAGGGCTGGGATCCAGGGTAGTGGCATCCAGGAGCAGGACAAGTACGGCCAGGGATCACAGGGTCCCACCCCCACGCTGTCACCACTGTGTGACCCCATAAACTAGATAAAATCCCTTGGAGGGCCACATCCAGCCCATGGCTGTATTTTGCCCAACCTTGAATTATGGCATATCAGCCCCTTTGGCTGAGTATGTGCACACAATCTATAGGATGGTTGAAATCCCAGGAATTAGAAATGCTGAGAATGGAAAAGGCTGCAACAAGTTCTTCATAGGGCCATACCACTTCTCACTCTGACACTGCCAATAACTATTGTCAGTGAAAGCACCTGATAAAAAAGGCAGCTGAGTGAAGAGCCAATTATTTTTCCCTGTATTTGAATTGTTGCCAGGCAGCACACACAGTGAATGTTTTTTTAAAGTGTTGTCAGAGATTGCTTCTGGAGAGTTTGTCAAATATGACCTTAATTTGGAAAGACTGCTCTTACATAGTCATTCCTCCAGTTATAAAGTATATGTAATTATGAGAATTAGTTCTGAAAGCTATATACCACTACAAAGAAAACAAGTCATTTATTTCTGACTAACTGATTTGCAGAACAGACCTTAAAACATCATTCAGTTAGGTCAGATTAATAATTTTCCATTCCTCACATATGCCAAGTTGCTTTTAAGCACAGTCATTTCAAACCTCAAGACTTGGAGCCAGGAACCGCACTTACCTATAACAGCTTCAGATGAACCAATTTTAAAATATAACAGAATTTCAGCAGAGACAAGCAAGAGAGTATTTACGGTACGTAAGGTTTTGAACCATCGAAAATTATTTTTGTTCATTTTGGAAAGTTAATGTCTAATAATAGTTCCCTCCAGCTGCAATTTTAACATCTAACCTTAAGTTCTGGTATGAGAACGAATAAATGAACTTTACTCCGCACAAGAAGAAAAGCCACCACACTTAAGAACTGACAATAGCATGTGGCTAGAATTACCTTTAGGTGGAAACAAGCTAAAAAACCACAAGCAGAGAGTAACTCCATGTGGATCAATGTCAAAATGGCAGGAGATTTGAAGTAGGTTCTCTAGGGTCTGTCCAATGCCATATAACGTTTTTCTTCATGATTAGGATAACAGGATAGAGAGCTTCCTGGACCATGTATGCAGAGGACAAAAGGGAGGTGTCAAATTTACAAAAATCTTGTGAAGCCCACAGGAATGGTAGAGGAGCAAGGAATTCAGGGGCACAGCCTGCTGCCAAAATATGGGTCATGGAGCCTCACTCACAACTGGTGAGAGCACCACAGGGCAATCAGCCACTCTGGTTATCCCAGCAACTACACTCACCTTGCCACCACTATTGCATCTAGATCTGACCCAATGGGTATGGCAAGTTTGATACCCCTTCTTCAGAGGATAGTAGAATTCTAAAAGATCGTAATAGACTTTCAAACGAGGCGAGAGACAACAAAATGAAATTCAACAAGGACAGTTAAGGTGCTACACTGGGAGGAGGGGCAGCAAGAGAAAGAGAAAGGGAGATGATCTGCTAAGCAACAGCATTGCAGAGCAGGATCTGGGGGTTCTGGTGGGTCACAGATTCATAGGCTGCGTCCAGACAAGTGTGGACATTTGGTTCCTCAGGGACAAGAAGCTGCATCATGAGATCTAGTCTGTTGGTACAAAGATCTCCGTGCATTTTCAAAGTTCGGCTGTCAACTTTAAATGCTAACAAAACTATTTAAGCTGTGAAATATGAGTTATGATTTTCCCTTCACACAAATGGTTTTACATGGTAGCATAACCAAGAAAACAGGATCCAAATGATTTAACTACATATTAATAGTTTACTCAAAAGCTTTTCCTTCAAGCTTCTGATTCTATAACATTCCTATTGTATCTGTAGAAGTGTTTTAGTATATCTCCTATAGGACAAAGTATATTTCACTTCTTTAAACAGTAACAATTTTATCCCAGCTGTCTTACCTGTGGATTATCCATGTACCATACCAGACTGTCCTCTGTTGTGTCCAGTATGAAGTACCTCCGCAGAAACTTCCCACTATTTTCATTTTCTTCGATGTCTAGGAAACCACAAATGCGATTCTGACGATCCACATAAGGCATTTCTGACCCTGAACATTACACTGCAGAACAAAAATAATGATCAATCAAGAAGTTTGTTTTTACGGATTTGAAGACTGTTCTGTGTCTACACATCTTGAATGCAGCCTCTACTAGCCGAATTTTCAGTTAAAAAAATTTTTTTTTTAAATTCCACGCAGCAACAAGTCAAAGTGAGCGCAAGTATTTTTCCCCACCATAGGAGTAAACTTTTACATTCGTCTTTGAAACAAGAGTTATTTTGTCCCTTAAGTTTTTGTGTGCCACGAGAAAACAATGGCATACGTGTTATATACATGCAGAACTGTAAGGCTGCTAAGCTTTTAGAAAAATCAGTAAAAAATAATCAGACTCTCTTTCACATAAGCATAACCAGGTTCAGATGTTAGATTTACATTTCTTCCTTTTAATGACTGATTTTCTGTGGTTAAGAAAAGATCTGTCAGCAGTCCTGCTGTCTGACACTGCTTTTCATGCTCTGCCTAAGCAGAGGAAACTCAGCCGAGAGGCTCTTGTACAACCTTTTATATGAATTCTGTTGCAAAGTGAACATCAAGCTCAACCACAGCAAAATCTGAAATCTCTTTTGCCCATGCTGGTTGCTAAGTAGGTGGATAAGAGCAAAACTCCATATATAGCAGCAAGCAGTTGCACACCCCACTCTACAGAACCAACTAAAATCCTTGCATTGATCTGTGATGCCACCGTTCACGTCTTAGAAATCAGCTCTGAACCTTTGTACTGCTGATCACTTATTTCCATTATGCCTTCTTCATCTTTGACTGTTCCAGCTTGTACAGGCCACTACACGATCTGCTTGCTTTTACCTTCATAAGCTAGGAAAATCACAGGCTCTTGAGTACCAGGTTCAAGTCTCTATCCTGAGGGACTAGTAGGCTACAATCCAACCAAACCCAATATTTAAAGCACATGTATTGAAGCTGCTCTGATGTCAATCTTTACTAAAGCAGGGCAGAAACCATTTGTGTGATGTTTCCGTACTCTGTTAGAATACATCTGAAAGTGCCTGTTCCAATTAACTTCTCAAGTGCACAATTCAGTTCAGGCACGTGATGCTACTTTGCACCATGAGAGTTTTCAACATCCTCTACTAAGTAGAACAGTGACATTTTCTTTTAAAGTTTATTCAAATACGACTGTCTCCCTTCCCCAACTGCTTCTTTCCTTGCCAAAAAATAAATAATTTTCCATTATTTTATCATCTTTTAGGATACTCTATCATGTTTATGTTTCATGGCGTGATATGAAATATTTACATGTCACGTTCCTGAATTGTTTACTACTACTAGTCCCTGTATGTCTGGAGTGGGCAATAATTTCAGGCAGAGGGCAACTTACTGAGTTTTGACAAGCTGCCAAGGGCCACATGGGTAGCCCCGCCCTTGACAAGTGCCCTGCCCCCGGTCACCATCTTGGGACCAGGAGTCCCGCCCCCTAACCTCGGCCACCACAAGCCCCTCCCCTTGCCCCCAGAAATACTCCTTTCAGCAAGGGGTTTTGCCATCTCAGAACCAGAAAAATACTAAATTATATTTAAAAAAAAGTGAACATCTAAAACATTCATTAGTTTGATTTCAAAAAATATTTTGCCCTGGTTTACCTGTGTTTGTGTAGTGTACACCAAGGTGATTGCACAATAGCTTAAAATGAATCTTACACTTGTATATTGTGGGGGGATGGGTATAGGTTTGTTCAGGGCTGTGGGTGTGTGGGAGGAGAGAGCAAGTGGGTGTGGGGTTTGTGGGAGGAAGGTAGCAGGGGTCCATGTATATGGTGGGGTGTGCACATGGGACACCCTACAAACACACACACAGCCCCTGCCCATCCGCGCACACACACACACACACCCTCCCCCCACACGCGCGCACACA